GTATAAAAGGTGTTATTTTTTGGAGCCTTGTATCTTTATTCAACTTTTCTTTCTACTGATCATTAAAAGGATTAGAACTATTTACTACACGTGAAGCAATTTGGGATTTTGGAGAATCTCTTGTTTCATAATTGTTTAGCTTACTTCCATTTCGAGTGAAAGTGTTTGGGGAATAGATTCGAAGGTCGATCTCATCAAAAGGCAACGCCGGATTCCTCTTAATCACCTGTTGATTGGTTTTATTGCAACATTTTTGTTGACGCTGTTTCCGGGGCAATCTTCTCCAATTCTGGTGAAAACCTGCTAAGCTTCCATTCATCGTATGACGGACATCATCAGAGCAGAGTATCATCCTTACAACCACATTCAAGCTGACGAGTCAAGAAAACTCACCGTGTTATCCGGTATATATATACTGTATATCTAAGATCTTTCGAATCTTTTTACTAGATGATTCCACTCGAAATGGAAGTAGGCTCATCAATTATTCAGGGCATCTGGATAAATTCTACCACCTGAATTGAAAGCACAGAAGAATACTTTCATTCGTCTTTTAGATTTTATGAAATGACCATTTAAGAAAACTGTGAATTAATCATAGTTCAAGTTAGGCGAGATAATTTAAATAGTGAGCTTAGTAGGAAGTAATCGAAACGCTTGATGCTTAATGTGTATGCGACATATCCACATCTCCTTCACTAATCAATCATACATACTGTCGATAAAGACTGAACTGTCACTGGTAAATAGCAAATATTTCGTTTTCATGAAGACACCATTTTCAGATTAGTGTGCAAAATTGGTGGTGACGTCTTAAAGTAATTAGAATGGGACGTAATTTTTATCCTCAGTTATCAAGGTTTGCTAACTTCAACCCCCTCCCCTTATTTTAATCATCACTTTACAGACTTTTGCTTATTCATTTATTAAACCTTATATAGATATTTTCACTTATCGTAAAATTCATACTTGTATTGTCTGCATGCCTTGCATCTTCTACTAATATTTGTTAACACTTTATGTATAATTTTGTTGAAATCCAGTTCGCAAGTTAGATTTCGTCTTCACACCTATTTATTGTACTCATCATTATCCGCATTTTGTGCTAAGGTACTTCTTAATTAATTTTAAAGTACTTCTTATCTAGAACTGTTCAGATAATTTAGGGCAAATCTGGTATAATTTGTTTTAGGCCTGTTTTTAATAGTTTTTTTGTAGGATCATAAATCTTGGCTCGTTCTTCTCTTTTACGCCTGTTGCATGCAGCCTGACTTAATTTACCCATAATAGAACGCCGCTATATATATCCCATTTAGTATGCCCGTTTATGTATTATTTCTTAATTGCCCGGACAATTAATTTAGTAATTTTTGTTATTTTGCTTACAATTATTCATTTCCCCCTCCAGGAGTATGGTCTCTGAAATGTATATTTTTATCCTTTTAGAAGGAAGTTCAACGACAAAGTGGTATTAATCTCGGCCGATCCTCTCATACGAAAGAGGATGATGATGAAGGCCGCGGGGATGAAGACTATGACGAAGAGGGAGAAGAGGACGAAGAGGAGGAAGAGGAGGTCGATGAAGATGAGGAGGGAGATGAAGATGAAGAAGGGGAAGACGAAGAAGTTGATACAAGGGAGATTAACGTTGGCCAGAATCTTCACAGTGGCGAAGAATGTTACACTAAGGAAAATGAACTTGGAGAGGCAAAAGATCCTTATGAAATCATACTGCCCCATATTCCTGACACTATTTTTTCGGAGCGTCTCAAGCTATACAAAAAGGAGAAACTTATGGAGACGTGCGAAAAAGTAACCAAGAGAGCATCGCCAGGCGACAATAACCACTTTCTCTCATGTAGTGACCAGCCCCCACAACCAGTGCAAAGTCAGCCGTCGCCGTCGCAGCAACATTAACAGCCATATCCTTCATTATTACTTAAAGGTCAGGAGAGATTAAACCGGCAAACGTTAAATGATACATTTACCAGCAGTACTGTCAATAAATGCGGATAGATCAGAAGTGGCGGAACGATTACTCTGGTTATACTGTATTCTTGCATATCAATGGTATCACCTGTAAACATTTCTGACACTCATTTATCGCAGCACTTGAATACTGCTTGTGAGTCTGGATCTGACTTCGACTGGGCGCAGGCATAAATTTAACGAGGCGAGAATCGAATGAAGAAATAATACAATTAGATCTATGATGGAACCTATAAATACGGACACGATTTTGAATCTATCTTTTTGCCCCCCATCCTATCCCCATTTTCCTATATTCCCTATTATACCTCCAAACCAACCTCACTCTCGCATTCCTAGTCTTTTGCCTTTCCTATTTCTTTCAGACCCAAATACTTTTTAGCTTTAAACCCTTCTCAACTCTTCTCGTCCAGCTTGAATTAACAGCTGTGATCTTCCTATTGTGCATCTTCTTCCGTTAATTTTGTTTACTATAGTAACTTTGAAAGGATCATACATATACAGAAAATTATGAACTCAGATGCGTTATGAAGTTCCAGTCCTTGTATTTGCCGCAACAGATTTGCCCTTTGTGAAAACTTCAGTCCCCAATATGCGCTTACATATTCGTATTTCTTCCGTTGCATCCTGCTTTGGAGAGATTTTCTTTAGACAATTATTATCTGCACTTGTCAGCATCTATGCCTGCTTGCATGCGCATTTTTTTTTACAAATTTGTATGCATAATCCTTTTTCCTCTCAGATGTTGAAAATTTTGGCCCTTTTATTAGGACGATTGCGTCCTGACAAAAGTCCGAAAATCTATTATGCCGCAGCCTTTACCTCTCCGTTATGTCCCTCTCCCTCCTTCAATTTAGATTTTGGTGTTCATATCAATTTGGCCTCATTACTTTCTTTTCATTTTCGTTTCCTTTCCCCATTCCTTTTATTTGTCTCTCTCTCTTGCTTGGCTTCGTCGAATCCCATGCTTGCCTTTTAATTGATTGTTTGTAGCCAACCTCTCTCTTTCCGGAGCTGAAATCTGTCTTTATCTACGATTTTTCCATTTTATTATCAAAACTATATGTACATTCATCCTTTTTATCCTCGCATCTCATCTTTCAATTTCCTCATCGCACTTTCTCTGCTTCTCACAGGTTTATTGGCCTGTTCAATTCTTCAAACATTTTATATTTTGTACCATTCAGTTCACTAGAATTCCAGAGCCGTCTTTCTTTTTTGTTACCCTTTGCGACCAATGCGATTTCAGCATTCGTCGCAATGCCTCACCTATTCGTAGCCATCCGTTTGTCTTTTAAACTCTCCACATATATCCATACGTGCCCCTTTGTGCGCCCAAGCACGTCTATGGATTAGCCGTACTTTTGGCATAGTTTGTAAGTAAGAGTTTTAACGCCTGAGTGCTTCGCTCAAACCTATCAACGCCTGTCTACCGGTGCCTGTTTTATTCAGCGTTTACCACCTTTTCTCTTTATTCATCCATCTTTTAAAATGGACTGGATGTATCACCATAAACGCATATAAGAAGGACTAGTACCTCTTTTAGCTGGGGAACTATTCACATACACACAAGTTACCTTTCACTTCACCCACCTACCTTGGTTTGGACTCCATCCAACTCATGCTCTTTTGGTATAATCTCGATTATGTCTCTCTTTTTTCTTAGAAGTTTCCTCTTTCATATGGGCGATGCTACACGTATGCCTGCGTATACACACGCACACATGCATACATCTATACATACATGAGTTATGCGTGCACTCTCCTTGTTCGTCTTTCGCCAAAGTCTGTCGTATTCCTGGTCTTTGGTTTTTGCGGCAGCTACGAAAATAAGCTATTATGCCACGAATTCGCTCCACCCCTCACCTCAACCTCCTTTATTTCCCTTCTTTTGTCCAGTCTTAGCAGTGGTTTGGCCATCGGACTTTATTTTCTTGTCATACTTTACCCTGAACTCTTCCTCAACTAAAAAAATTTGCCCACAGTTCACTCGTTTTGACGTGTCTAGCTGCTCGAGGCATTTCTTACCCAATGTATCTTAAGTCTTTCTAGACCCCTTTAGGCTCTATTTATCTATTTTCTTTTCCTCATTCTATCGTTCACACACACACGCACTTGTTAATTCGCCTAAGATCTATCTTGTCATCGCCCAGCGCAAAACCCCATGGAAAGCCAACATCCTTGGAAGTATCCTTTTATAATTCTACTAAATGCCGGAGTTTTCTCGGCTCTGCTATTCTGATGTCCTCGATTTTGTGCTCTCTTCAAAACCTCTGCCATTAGATCTTGTTTGCTTGATACTCTCATTAATTTTCATTCCTTGTTCACCATTCCTTGGCTTGTTTGTACTTTGTATGCTCGATGAAAGCTATTATTTGAGTTAAATTTTTTCGCCAGGCATCTTTACCTGCTATTTTCCGATTACTTTCTATTGTTACTAATAAAAAACCTCGAACAAAAATTTCTGAATTGAGTTAGATCCCTTCTATACTCTTCCTGTCTTTTCCTTTATGTTTTATTTCTGGTTCTTTGGATTGCATTCTTCAGTTTCTTAGTTCAGGAATCGGATTCTGCCTCTATCCGAATTCTGAGTTCGTAACTTTACGCTCATCCAGGAAGTATTCTTTTCGAATATCCACAATTTCATAGATACCGCAAGTCTGCTTGCACCTTTAGTTGCTCTTTTGGGTTTGATTTACGGACTCGTCGTTTCTTTTGCTGCGTCTTTTGGTTGCTAACACCTAGATGTTGAGTTTTTCCGGTTCAAATCAATTTACTCGCTCTATGCTCCACCTATTTGGTGACCCTTCATTGAGTTATATCCCTTAGTGTTAATCAAAATGTGGGTTTCTTACGCCTTTAATTTAGGTTTCGCAGACCGGTCATGCACGTGTGTTTGTCTTGGGCATTTTGACTAATTATGCTTTCTGCCGCTCAGCTCTTACGTGATCACGCTTTCGGTTGATACTCACATTCTTTTAAGTGAATTTTTATTCTCTCAAATCTTCATTTTTCTCACTGTTCACTCCCCATTGTTTAATTGCTTCTCTCTCCAAGTAAATTCCTGAATCTCACCAGTGGCCTGCTCAGTCCAATTTGCTAGTCGCAGTTTCTAAGACTCGGTCTAGCTTGCCTATCTCAATTTGTCCATTCTATCCCAATTCTCACTTTTACTTTCCTGCCTTTTTTCTATGTTGCCTCTAATCTCTGTTGCCAATCCTCCATTCACTAACTTGCACTTCTCTTTTTCCTTATAATAAGTTCTGGTTGACGCATCTTATTAACTCTTGATCATCTTCAACTGACTCATAGTTGAGTCTCATATTTCCTGCATTTCCTTGTAGTGCCCGAGTCACTCATTATTTCAGCTCTGTCCAGACCAATAGTCGAGGGATTGGCGAAAAACTAAGATATGGGCCTGGGAAAAACAGAGGAGAAACGGAAGATGAAATGTCGTTAGATGTTATCAGTGCCCTACTCATTCAAAACGTACTTGTTGATCTTCCATTAAATTCTTTTGGATTAGTCGCTGCTAGAACAAACCTCATTAGCAGGCCTAGTTTACTGCCTATTTTATCAGCTTTATAATAATTTCATGCCAGCAAGACGCCTCCACACCATCCGTCAATTAGTAGAAATTATGTAAGGGAAGGTTTATTGGCTTGTTTTTGTACTGAACGAACGCTTGTCCATCTGGTCTGTCATATGTTCTCTCTTTCAATCTCAATCCATAGCCAAAGCACGTCTATCTCACGCTGAGTATTGGCGATATGAGCATACAATTAAGGCTAATGTAGTAGGTACCCACAGTACATTGTAATGAGATAGAGGATCACCTTTATTTTGAAATATTACTTTTCGTCCACTGTAGATCATGCAAAGGGCTCGCACTCGTATCAACAATTCTGCGTTCCCATTGCATTTTCGCTTGTCTTATTCAAATTCAGGCCGAATGATATCAACCAAAAGATTTAAAGATCGCCTCTGTACTTTTGGCTTCTGTCTTGAAGGCCATAGTTGTGAAACGCCCGGCGTATTAGTTGCATTTGGAACAAGCAATAGGCTAGTATGTGATTTGAGAAGACAGAGCATCATTTACGAATTTAAGAGTTAATTAAATTTGACATTGTGAGATGTATTCACCCTATTTCGCTTAAGATCATGAAGGACTGGTAGCAGGATTTTCCCACATTGATATGATTAGAGCTGATGTTCCCATTCAATTTCACATTGCCTTGCTTTCAAACAGGTTGTTCTCATTCAGAGTGGACTGAAGTTTCGACCTCGTGTCGATCTTGGCAACGTCCCTTGGGTCATAAGACAGATGTCAATTTCCCATATCACATTCCTTGTTGGGAGTGGCGATGAGGCAAACTTCGTTTTGCCTTAACAATCGACTGCATTACTTATTTTTATTTTGCAAGCGGAGTTCCGAGACTACCAATAAATCAGTTAAATGAGGTGTGTTGCTTGACGTGTCTAGACTATACGCTGCACTACCAGAATACGGATTCGATTCCCACTGGAGGTGTTGTCGAGACCAGTTCAGATGAGGTGTCTACTACAGTCCACTTCATTCGGGACGTGAATACATTTTGGGGAAGCTG